GACGGCCCCCGAATGCGTGGCAACGGCCCACAGACGCTGAGCATGGCAAAAAAGATCCGCCTTGAGGAGGGAGAGGAGGAGGAAGAGGAGGAGGAGGAGGAGGCGGAGGAGGAGGAGGAGAAGGAGGAGGAGGAGGAGGGGGGTTTGCCTTGACTTGCTCAAAGCGCCTGGAGGTATGAGTCCCTTCTCGTCCCCCTGAGCGACGACGGCGTGGCGATGGCAACGACGGCCACGCAGCGATTACGACGGCGGCGACTGCGATGGCGGCCACTGCGACGGCGGCAACGACGGCGGCATGGCGACGGCGGCACGGCGAGGGCGGCGGCGACGGCTGGGCGGTCCTGGAGCTCAGGCTCGTCCCAATCGTGGGGCAAACGGAAGATGCAGATGTTGCAGCCCGGCTCCGCAGGCCTCCTGGACACCTCGCCGCGTGCGTCCTCGTCGTCATCGGAGTCGCCGTCGCACGTCGCTGCCGCATCGCCATAGGCTGCCGCCCTCGTTGCCGTCGCCATCATTGCCGCCGCAGTCCTACTCCTCGTCGTCGTCGTCGCCGTCGCCCTCGCCGTCATCATCATCATCATCATCATCATCATCATCATCATCATCATAATCATCATCATCATCATCATCATCATCATCATCATCATCATCATCATCATCATCATCATCATCATCATCATCATCATCATCATCATCGGCACCACCACCACCATTGAGAAGCGAGGGTCAGAAGGATGTGAGCCGAGACCCTGCTTGGGATGACGTTGTAAACGCATCACGGTATATCATAGTTCATTCCTTCTTGATGAGGAGGACGAGATATAAGAGACAAGACGTGAGATAGAGAGATAAGCCATCGGTGGATGTGGCCTTGATCCAACACCCCGATTCTGCTGTACCTCTCGGGCGAGAGGTTGTCACATAGGGTAGCGCTACCTTGAGTCAGGTAGCACCGGACGTAGGCGCGACGTTCATTATACCAGCCCCCCTTCTGACCTCCTTCAAGATCAGGAGGGAGAGGGCCGAACGTCGAGCCGCGCCAACTTACACAACACAACAACTAAAGAAGTAAGAGAGGATGTCACATGGATCGACATCCTCAGCAGAGCAATGATCAAGGTAGGACAGGGGCAACGCTTCTAGTAGGGTCGGTCATGGGCAACCCACATGAGACCGACCGCAATGAATTAATAGGGGATACCGAAACAAACAATCAGGCATCAGAGCGCGCGGCGAAGCAAAAGGATGCCTGACCAAACAGTCAGGCATCAAAGCTTGCAGTGAATCAAACAGACAGACACCCCGTGTCCGAGCGAATCCTGCAATGAGGTTCGTACCCGAGCACCCGCTGGCGATGGCCTAGCCTCACGTGAACATCATCCGCTGGCCATAGACAGCATGTCTGTGTTGGTACTACTTTGCTGCACCTGTAAGGTGTTTACCTCTTTACTTCGTACTTGAATGGCTGTATTCCTTCCATCACTTGCAGGAATAGCTCACGATCAATGCACCCTTTTGCATGACCGTCGGCTGTCAAATCCCGCGCATCACACCGCTCTACGCTGTGAGCGACCCCATCGATCCATGATTTGTCGGATCCAACGAATATGTCCGAACCAGGTACTTTCGGCTGGCTCCCTCAGGTCCGTACTTGATAGAAATTTGAAGACCGACCCGGCGTCAACGGTGAGGATAGCGTTTATGCTTTGACCACCGATCCCACATGTTTTATTGAGCTGCGTTGGCGTCGGTTGCCCAGCCGTAAGCTCGCGTCGCGCCGCGGCAATCGGTAGCTGGAACGCACCTGCAAGCGGCGTGACGTGCAGCATGCGTCGATCAGGTACACGACTGCTTCTCCATTAGGCACGCGCCCGCGCAGTAAGAGGTTGGCTCCTCGGATGCCATGCCCCTTCACTTCGTCGTCGGTCTCGCCGTTCAGGCGACGATAACTGGAGTCCACTTATCATGTCGGAGTCATGAGTTCGTATGATATCACTGTGGGGCCCAGTGGTTTGCGCGTTGCGGCGCTGGGCATCCACGCTTCTAGGCCCGTCGGTTCTTGGACACGTCATAGCGAGACCAATCATACCAATGACCATAGCTGCCTGATCAACTGTGCGGGGCGAAGTCGCTTCATGAATTCATCTCGGCCAAGCTGGGCGCGGCCGCCCTCGGCTTCGGGGTAGCGCGCGGCGCTCTTGGCGCAGCTGTGCTCATTGCTTACATGCGCCGACGCGTTATCTACACAGTTGACGTATTTGCCAATCGCATCCTCGACTCTTGCCATATTTATGACGCCAACGCGCTTGGAGGTTAGGAGGCGCGGGCTCGCCTCAAATTCCTCGTCGAATGAAACTGGTTCAAGCCCAACACCCCTCGGGGTGGTCCTGAGTTTCACCGGACATGCCCAAGGGGCATCGTCGGTGCCCGCGCCTGGCTTCAGACGCCGCCAGTAGCGTCTCGATGTCTCGTCAGACGCGAAGCCCGGCAAAGTGCGCGGCACCGACGCTGGACCAGGTGGGAGAGTGAAACATACCGCGCGTTGTTCCTCTCCAGTAGCCTCAGCCAGTTCACGATGGGCCGAGCCCAGGCTCCGTCAAGGTCCATGGAAGCGATGATCCATGATTTCTCGCGCGCGGCCGCGTTTGCGAGCAACCTGCGACCGGCCCGACAAGCCGTGCCTGAGAAGGCCTCGACATCGAAGGTTTCAACATCCATGAAGCCGCGAAGGACCAGGCGAAGTCTGACGGTTCGTTCCATAACGCCCATTGCGTTCTTCACGAATTTACAAGTGTGCACATATGTAGACGTCATAATGCTAGTGGTGTTTTCATATCCTGCATCCTGTAGCAGTTGTTGTCATGCCAGATATAAGTTAGGTGCGCAAGGTTTTGGACATCGCGACCGCATCCGCCTATATTTCGGCCTTGGCCAGGAGGCCGTCTTCCTTGACGATCGCAGCTCTCCTGGCTGCGGCTGACACATATACGCGCGCAGTGGTTATCTGGCTGGAGGGAGTCGCGCTGCTGTTCCGTCGGAGCAACCTTGGCCACGTCAGTAGTGAAGCAGCTATGCAAGGCTCTACATACCTAGCGTGTTCGTCCGAATCCAAGTCGCAAGTTTCGTCGCATTCGGTGGTGCAAGGCACTAGGAATGTCTCGTCAACATCATCGCGGTAGTCGCAGCCTGTTTTACGCAAGTGTCCTTGCGCTTCACAGGCCACAATCACGAGCACATGGTTTCGGTGATGAGTTATGCGGGTACTGGGTACATGGATTATAATGAGGTTGTCTCTGGTAGCTCCTGTTCTTCTTGGAGTTCAATGCACCGCGCTTCCATGACGCACGCTTCTAAGTCCATCTCCGACTCTTTATTCATGGTCGGAATCCGGCCGTCGAGCGCGGCCGGAGCTGAGGGTTGCTCTTCCTCCTGAGCGTTGCCGCCCGATGCTGGCGCGTCCGCCAATTCCTCAAACTTAGATAGGTCTTCGTCGAAGCCTGCTAAGAGGTTTGGAGGATTTGACGCATTGGATGATACGTGCATGCGCGGATCCAGTGATCTCGCGCATGTTAAGGGCTGAGCCTTCTGAATTCGTAATAGAAGAATCCTGGCGCGACGTCGCTGTCGCGATATACCAGGGCAACTGCCAGCGCGCGGTGCCATAGCGGGCCGCCCCGCAGGTGGGCTCGCGACGAAGGCCAGCACTGCGCGCACAGCCGCTGCATCGTGGCCGATCTCGCGGACCACGAGCACTTCCAGGCACAGCGCGCGCTGTAGGCCGGGATGTTGTACATGGACTTCTCGACCGCCGACCAGAAATGCAGCCTGACCTTGGTCAGGGCAGTTGCGTGCGATGGGGCATGGGCCATTCCGCCCACCCCAATCGTCCTTCGCGGTGGCCAGGGGGCGGTAGTCCGCGAGGTCACCGGGCTGATAATTGTGGCGTCCTGCGACTATTGCTTTAGTGCGTAGGGCTCGGTTAGCTCCTGCAACTGCCGTGGCCTGCGTGCTAGCCTCAACGCTTACCTCCCTGATTCTTTTCTCCCGATTGTGATCGGAAGTTTCCGCCCCTTGCTCGTGGCCCAGCACTGGGAGGTCTGGGAAGCGCGCCGGCAGTCGGCCACGCAGTGTCTGATTTGGCCACAAAAAAAAAACGTTAGAGAAAGCGAGCGCACTGCAGGCAAATTGGCCTTCGTGCAGAAGGCGCGGGAGCACCAATGGGATGTCGCGATGTCTGAGTTCCTCTTCCGTAGCGCGGCGCGCCAGGGGACGCCGCTGCGCGCCCCAATGGCGGTGGCGCTTTGGCCCCGGGCACGGATGCGAAGCGGCGCGCCTTTGGCCTTTAAGATAGCCTGGGGGGCATCGTCGCCCGAAGCGCCCTCTCCATCGGAGTGCATCACCGTAGCAGGGAGGCGTTGCATCCAGCACAGGTGATAGGCGTCCAATATAGTATGCATCGCCTTATTGGCTACCTGTTGGCCAGCAGCCCAACGAATGCATCGGTCGATGATATGAAATACGATGTACTGTTTAGAGAACATCAGATCGCATTCGACTTCCTCACTGAATTTGCCTGGGAGGCTGATTGACGGCAGTCCGGGAATTCCTGTTCCACCTAGGCCCTGCACCCACGGCATGAGTCAACTACGATCATTATCCTGTTCAGTCGCACAACATCTAGCCCTACGCTCGAGAAGGTGGTGCTTTGGCTCGGAGGTGCGACGCCGCCGCAGGTGGAAGTTGCGCAGTTCTCTCACTACAATGGTCGGATTGAAGCCAAGAGCGTTCTGAAGATATCTGGATGTTGAACCTACTCCAATCAGGCAGTCTCGCGCGCGGCCGTGCTTCGGCCCGAGGCGGAGGCGGGGGCGGCGCTGCGCCACCCCCCTCGCGCCCACGCCGCCCTGCGACGCGCGGTGGGTCGGGGGATCTGCCGACGCCAGAGCTGCCAGCGCCACCGCCGTCAGAACCGCGCGCACCTCGCGCCGCATCGCAGCTGCTGTCACGCACGCTGGGGACTCCAAGGTTTCTACGCGCAGGTAGAGATGCGCTGGCCGCGAATTGCCCCGCGGTCTCTGTCGTGCAGGCAGCATTTCTGCATGTGCTGGTGCTTCGTCGATTCGTTCCTCCACTGGCGCCTCGGCCGCTGCCGGCGCCGCGGCCGCCGGCGCCGGGGCGCCATCCGCCGGCCAGTGCCGGCGCAGCCGGCGAGGCCAGTCCGGAATTATCCGGCACGCGCCGAGGTTTGGCAAATCTACATTTGCCTGATGTTACCAAGTGGCCCCGCTGGTTTTTACCATCGTCATTTTTGTAGCTTGGGCTTTCCGAATAATGAAATTCCTTGTCAACCCGCCGACATTGTCGCGGGTGGCGGTCGTGCCGCGGGGAGTTCATTTGCACGTTGCCGGCGCATGCTGGGCGC